TGGTGTAAGAGGTGTGCGACGGTGGCAGCTTTTATGGTGTGAAGGACTGGGTGCGACAGTACTTACGTCAGCGAGAACATAACATAAGAACATAAGAAAGTGGGATACTACAGGAGGCCGACTGGCCCATACAGGGCAGATCCCTTTCACACCCATCCCAGCACTTCCATGTGCCTATCCAACTTCGTCTTGAAGCTCCCTAGCGTCCCCGATCCTACTATAGCACTCGGTAGTCTATTCCACATATCCACAACTCTATTACCAAACCAGTGCTTGCCTATATCTTTTCTGAATCGGAATTTATCTAATTTAAAGCCATTTGTTCTAGTTATTTCGTTATTACTGAGCTTCAGAACATCTTCCATTTTACCCTTGTTAATCCCACTTACCCACTTGTACACCTCTATCATATCTCCCCTAACTCTACGCCTCTCTAATGAATGCAAGCCTACTACTACTACTACTTCTAATAATAATAATAATAATAGTAATAATAATAATAATAATAATAATAATAATAATAATAATAATAATAATAATAATAATAATAATAATAATAATAATAATAATCCTTTAAAATATGATGTAAAAAATAATTATAAATATATTACAAATTTCTAGTAAAGTTGACTCATTATATTTTATTTATTCATTTTATTTACAAGATAAATTAACAAAAGACGAACACCAATTAGTGCGCAAGAGGGAGAGGAGGATGAAAGCGACAGGAGGAGGAGAAGGAGGAGGAGGTAGGTGGGAAGAATGAGGGCGTCAGGAAGAGGAGAGACGATTGAAGGTGGGGAGGAGGAAGAGAGGGAAGAGGAGGAGGAGGAGGAGGATGGGATGGAGGAGGAGAAGGAGGATGAGGAGGAGAGAAGGAAGAAGAGAATGAGGACGTAAAGAGGAGAACAAAGACGGTGTGAGGAAAGGGCGGTATAGAGCAGGAGACGCCAGATATAGTTAAGGGCTGGGCAGGTCCCTCTCCACACACACACACCTCACCACTTTCACTCTCCGCTTCCCTCCTTCCCTCCCATCACTCCCCCTCCACCCTTCCTTCTCCATTCCACCCCTTCTCCTAACACTTTCTCAACCAGGTTATAGTGACTCCTGAGGTCCACTCCCTTTCACAATATCAACCAAATTTACAGGTATCATAAACTATTATCAGGTCAGCCCGTTACCTTACTAGCTATAGAGGTAGCCTACGTCAGTGCTTCCCCCCTCCAGTGCTGTCGCGTTCACCTGTATACCGAATGATTCAACTCTGTCATCAAGTTTATTATTATAATTATTATTATTATTAGTAGTAGTATTATTATTATTAGTAGTAGTAGTAGTAGTAGTAGTAGCAGTAGTAGTAGTACTACAGTCACTGAATGCCGCATAGATCTGCGGCTCAACTAATTTAACACAGATAGCATAGCTTCTTATGTATTAGGATATTTAATATTAAGGTAAATAAATGGTGGCGAAGGTGTGGCTATTGGGGGAGGCTGGAGGCCACGTTAAAAAAAGTAGTAGTAGTAGCAGCAGTAGTAATAGTAGTAGTAGTAGTAATATTGTACTGGGAAGAGGAGACAGTGTTACTAGTATTGCCTATCACGGATCTAAATTCTTACAACACGTTCTGGAAGTCACAGCTGGCCGCCGGCACTCAATCCCTACAGTTGTGAATGTTAGAAGGTTCTGTTTCACCTGACTTATATAACATTGAGTTATCATCATTATCATCATCATCATCATCATCATATAAAAGCCCTGACTGCAAATGCCAAACACTATATGAGTACAGAACCCAAGAGTGAGTGGTACAACATATAAGTAAAATCAAAAGTTAGATCTAAAGGACAAGTCAGTTAAAAAAAACTACAGCTTCGTAACACAATCAACAAAACCGACTCTTGAAAACTGTATTAGGCAGAGTTCCACCTTTTAATTATGTAGACGAAACACGGAGGGAAGTGTGTGTGTGTGTGTGTGTGTGTGTAATAATAATAATAATAATAATAATAATAATAATAATAATAATAATAATAAACGGTTTATTAATAGAGTTGCAGCCGGTGGCTGAAAATATACAGACTTACATTTGATTTAGACATAATGATATAATATGCATTGAATACATTTACAGGGCTGTACAGTACATAAATCAGGAGTTGTTTATTATTTTAACAATAGATGTGTGTGTGTGTGTGTGTGTGTGTGTGTGTGTGTGTGTGTGTGTGTGTGTGTGTGTGTGTGTGTGTATGTGGGGTGACACCTGACTGACTGACAGGAGGACGAGACCGTGAACTACTAATGAGGTTCTGGGACACATGGGGGGTGATGGGTTTTGGGTTTGTCTAAGTGATGAAAATAAACATAGGTAACCAACTCTCTCTCTCATTAGGAAACTGTTATCAATTTATCAAGAACTCGTCATTGTACTCAAAGAATTACATTAATATACTCAAGGGGTCTATTAATTTGTACTCAAGGGATTCAGATACTTGTGGTTAAGGGAAAGAGTCATTACACTCATGGAATAAATTAATTGTACTCAAGGACTTAAGTTATGTGTACTCAAGGGATAAAGTCACTCTACTCAAGAAATTAACTCATTCTACTCAAGGGTTAAAAATTACCTATCCTAACCTAACCTAACCCAACCCAACCTAACCTAACCCAACCCAACCTAAAAACACTATGAATGACCTTTGACCCTCCTGGTCCCTCCCTGAACCAGCTGGGATCAACTAAAAAATATTTCCACTGAATTCCCTCCGCCCCCCCCCCACACACACTCTTCATGACAGTGTAAAGAAAGTAGTACTAGAAAGTGAGGACAAATAAATATTGTCTTCATTTAACACTTCTAAATAAATTTTTGTATAACAGAAAAAAACTCATAAGTGGCGTGAAATTTTACTCGTTGTTTTACCCAGAGGTGTGACTAAGATTAAAACATTTTCAACTTAAACAGGAGATACACCTTTTGAGAATAAGTCTCTTAACAAACTCGTAGTAAAATGTATAATTCTAAAAATTAATGAAAATGATAAGAGAGGTGTACAGCATTAACAGGTCAATATTCTCATAACAATATCAAGTATCCAAGGAAGAATGTTAAATAAAACACAACAATGAATTCAGGAACTTAAAAATGCAGTCATTCAATATCACGACCCACATATAGAAGTTTAAAAATATCTCATTAATCTCAACACTTTTTGCATAATTCTGGTGACAAATTTCGGTGGGACAGACAGACTGATCCAAAACACTACAATTATCAAGTAGCTGTAATATCTAATAGAGTAACGAAGAAATAAATAATGAGCTATATAAAATTTCATTGTTCTTAAGTGGATTATTTTGGTTGAGTCTTCTGACAAACTTAACAGGGACGCAGTATGCAGACTTTCACACGGACAGATGGACACCACTATGTGCACCTACAAACAGGAGGGAGGGTGAAAAAATATGTGAGGCGCTAATATAAATGACCTTGATGTGACCTTGACCTTAATAAGTGTGAATTTAAAGCCTTACACAAGTGAGAGAGATTCACAAACACATTAACTGAGTTCCTTCCCAACACCACTACCACAATTTCACAAGAGATACCTAAAGGAACCACTTACATCTACATCAAGCCTCATCGAAAAACTACCATACACAGTCTGACAGATTCAACAAGACAATGAGAGGCGAGGAGAAGTCATGAGATGTTGGCTGGGTGAGTACTTTGATGTGAACTGTTGCTTTTTTTAGATATCGCGTATTGGCCCCAAAAGCTGCGGGATGTTGAGAAAAAGTGGTTATTTTGACCCTGGACAACGAATCATTCAGTGATGCAGCATAATGAGGTGAAATTGGCGACCCAAACTTTCTCACAAATGATTTTAGGAAGTTAGTAGTAAAGTTTATGATAAGAAACTTGTTGGGCAGGAAGCTTTCTTAAGACGGTAACTAGAAAATTTAGTTAGCTGAGTTTAGCCTAACCTAAGCTAACCTAACCAAAGCTAAATAGACACCCACCCTCCCTCCTAATACGATTAAGCTATTTTCTCTTGCATCAATTTCTACGATCACTTGATATTCTTAAGAACAACTAACTACTCTTCAATACCTGAAAGTTGGAAGGTATTTACATTATTTACCTCAAACTCTCGGTATTACTGAAGTACCGGTATCGATATCTCACCCATGTGTTCCTTAGTACTGAGGTATAGTTCGGTATATGTGTGTGTGTCTTATTCAATGAAGTTAATAATTATCTAATATTACAGAAGTCAAAAGTCCTCTTCCTCCAACCATAGTTACCTGTGGGTCACTTCTCACGAGCTTCAATCATTATAACTAGTACAACATAGATTATAATTATCATATTCTATATAGCGATCAGCTGTCTAACACATGTACGCTTTCAGAGGATTTCCTGTATATGTCTATAACGTTAAGACGAAGGCCTCTTAAAATACGCAGACAGACACAGAGCTTGACGCACATCATATCTCACCAGCGTGTGTAAAACATTGTCTTAGTCTGTATCATGTCTCAATATATCTCTGCACTTTTACGCTCATACAAGATACCTCAATGGATAATCTAACATACTACGCAAGGTCTCATGACATCACCCCAATAATGTGTTACGGACCATTATACGCCCCTCAAGTCACTAGTCGTCCTCTGATCACACTCGGATTATGGTTAGTCTGGTCAAACATTCCTCAGGGTTCCTGGTCCGCCTCGGGCATTTCGAAAGTGAAATCTTAGGGTCGCTTACATCGCGACACACTGGGATCATACTTTTCTATCAAATTTCAGTATCCTATAATAATAATAATAATAATAATAAAAAGACGACCTCCTTTGGCTCAAGAATACTTTAAAAGACGAAATTTCGAGGTGGGGAACGGTGACACTCACTTAGACTATAATAGTGGAGAAAAAACTTGGAAAGTGTAGTGAGTGAAGGTTGGCTCGTGTGGTGCGGCACCATCACCTGGCTGACCCGGCTATGTGTAGTGTGCTGAGCCCTCACTGCCTCAGTGGCTCTTGAGTCTCCCTGCCGTCAACAGTGCCGCGCTAGCAGGTGTGTTGCTACACCTCCCACCATTATACCTTCTTCCTTATTCCCAGTGTCAGCTCCGAGTGTGTTACTTCCAAGGCAAGTCTGTATACGGTAAGTCTCAATGGACATTTACAGACAAACACCTTAGACTAAATATGCATAAACAAATGATAGAATCTATGAGAGAGGACACATGATATAAAATGCCTTGATAAGTAAAGGCTGAACTGTGAATGAGCGACACGACCCCATCTCTTGTACGACTCGGAAGATAAACTCCCCCTCACGAGACCTGAACAATGATAACTTAAAAACAAATACTTTTCCTGTAAATACTGAGTGTATTCAGCCACACACACTCTCTCTTTCTCTCTAGGAACTTTCACTCTCACACTTTCCGTTAACTTATTGCATAAGCACAGGGCGAGATATACCCGGGGGGGGGAGGTAAGTGATGGATGTTGATGCTCGAGTGGTTACTGTTGAAGCGATGACACTACTGACTGTACCTACCATCTCGACGTAGAGGGAGAGAGAGAGAGTAGTAGTAGCGCAGGCCATAACACCACCTTCACCACCCATTACATCAGGCTCCACCACAGTGCTACACACACACCGTGAGAACTACAGCCGTAGACAACAGTTATCGCATGTACCTGTACCACAGAAGCAAAAATCTTGTCGCAGGCCGGATTAACCACAATACGAGATTAACCACAACATGAGATTAACCACAACACGAAATTAACTACAACATGAGATTAACCACAACATGAGATTAACCACAACACGAGATTAACCACAACACGAGATTAACCACAACACGACATGGACCCTGGACCCAGCCGTCACAGCTCATGATATAACGACTGCAGTTGTTGTCGGTGTACCTTAGTAATGTAATCAATACTTAGGATATTATACATTCATAGATACGCGCGTGAGTGTATAATGTGTGCGTTAGTGAGGTAGGTTACGCCCAAAAAAGTGACACTCGATTGAGGAATGTGTAGTGAGACTGTTCGCTCTTCCCGAATATCTATCACTTTATTGCCGACACCCTTTACAAGACATAATTTACTTCATTCACAACACATGGTACAGTGGGAGTAAACACTAGTGATCAGACTACATCAGTGAGCAGTACGAGGAACATATGAATAACGGAACTTTAATGAGGAAAGGCATTGTGAGCTGAGTACGAGTTCCGTGAGTTGACGCAGTGAGTTGAAAGTGCTGCCTGGAGGGTTAGAGGGTCAGTGAGGGTGAAAGTAATGTGCAAGAAGTGTGATCAAACAAGTAAGGGAAGAGGGAAGTTATATACCACGAGCTGTTGAGTATAGGACCAAGCGACGCGAGATCCTTAGTGGGTTAGGTTAGGTTAGGTTAGGTTAGGTTAGGTTAAGTTAGGTTAGGTTAGGTTAGGTTAGGATCCCTGTGACAATGTGACAGAACAACCACAGCTTCGACTAATGCTAAAACAGGGAGTATGTGGTGCATTATATCAGTACTGAAAACTTTAACCAATCAGTGAGAGTTTTACGGTGAATATCAACCACGAGTTACTTAATCCAAACAGTACACGTAGAAGGTACTTAATATATTGTTAAAAAGACCTATACAGAGATTCTACCCTCCGCTTCATCAACTAGTGACACTCAGTACAGTTACCAGCCCAACTAGTGACACTCAGTACAGTTACCAGCCTAACTAGTGACACTCAGTACAGTTACCAGCCTAACTAGTGACACTCAGTACAGTTACCAGCCTAACTAGTGACACTCAGTACAGTTACCAGCCCAACTAGTGACACTCAGTACAGTTACCAGCCTAACTAGTGACACTCAGTACAGTTACCAGCCCAACTAGTGACACTCAGTACAGTTACCAGCCTAACTAGTGACACTCAGTACAGTTACCAGCCTAACTAGTGACACTCAGTACAGTTACCAGCCTAACTAGTGACACTCAGTACAGTTACCAGCCCAACTAGTGACACTCAGTACAGTTACCAGCCTAACTAGTGACACTCAGTACAGTTACCAGCCCAACTAGTGACACTCAGTACAGTTACCAGCCTAACTAGTGACACTCAGTACAGTTGCCAGCCCAACACAATACCTCTCAAGATGTGTGCACCTGTAGACCAAATTGTACCTGCTGAAAAATGATTTGAGATGGACGAACAGAACTCACTTTGGACCTGACCCCCTCCCTCCCTCCCTCCCTCCCTCTCCCTTTAAAAATACACAAAAATCAATTCCAAAAGACAGATGACATTACTGGTATATGTATGTTAGTAATGTGATATTAATTCTGTTACGTTTTATCTTATTTTTATTTTTTTTAGTTTATTCTAAGGAATGAATAATTTCAGTGATGTATTTCGCCATTTACTGTATGTTCACCAAGTATATATGGACCTTGTATGTTGACCTCAAGTGACGTGTGTTTCAGACCACACAAGATGAAGGTCCTGGCACTACTGCTGGCCCTGGTGGCCCTCACACACGCCGCACCACAACACAGAAGTAAGTACCTCCCCCACCTGCTTCTTCTACACCACCTGTGATATATACCACCTATGTTGTTACACCAACTTTGTTTACCACATGTGTTGTACATCCTATGTTACACCTCTGTTGTTGTACCACCAGTGTTGCAACACGTGTTTTGTTATACCACCAGTGTTGTCCCACCTGCGTCGTTGTACCATCAATGTTGTTGTACCACATGTGTTGTTGTTCTACCTGTGTTGTCATACCATTTGTGTTATTACATTACTTTTACACCACATGTGATGTCATAACACGAGTGTTATACCACCACCTGTGTTGTCAGGCCACATCTGACACACATACAGTACACTATCCAAGATCACGTGTCATCACATGACTTTCTTTTCCTTGTTACAGCGTTACACTATACCGTATTACCTCACAGTACAGTACAATCCTTACTCGTAAAATCTCCACACTCACCCACGCCCTTCTGCTCCTTTACTCCACCAGTGTCGAGTCAGGCATACAACGCCTTCAAAGTAGCACTGTCTGGCCGCATCCCCGTGGCCCTCTACTCAGCCAAAAGGTCTTACCGAGGCTACGGCGACGAGAGTGACGGTGTCGTGGTCATCAACTTCCCCGGACTCGGTAATCAAGCCGGCGCCTACTCCGCTGATTCTGATGATTTCGGAGTTGCAGTCGGCAGGAGTGAGTACTGTACTGAGTCACTTTGTTGTCACCACCGACTGACTGGGTTGGTTGGTGGTGCCTGTTGACGCCTTCCATCTATTAGGCGGCGTTCTCTCTGTATAGTTTCCTTCCAATGTTCATTTTCAAGGTTCAGGAACACGTCTGAGTTCACGACCCCCTGTTATATTATGTCCTAGTTCACGACTCCTATTATATGTGCTAGTTCACGACCCCTGTTATATATGTGCTAGTTCACGACCACTATTACTGTATATTATGTCCTAGTATTCACCTTGTATATATTCGATTACAGGTCCAGCTTTATGTCTTAATATACGCTAGTTTTGTATGTCTTAATGTACGCTAGTTTTGTATGTCTTAATATACGCTAGTTTTGTATGTCTTAATACACGTCACTATTGTTAATGTTATTATACGTGATTGTTGTATGTCTTATTATACGTGATTGTTGTATGTCTTATTATACGTGATTGTTGTATGTCTTATTATACGTGATTGATGTATGTCACCAATACTTGTACAAACCTAAACAGGGAGATTGTACAAATATTTGACTCACAGCTCTAGGTGTATAGCTGTACAGAGTGGCCATGTCTGGTAGGGTCTTCACTCACTCTTTCCCCCCCTAACTAGCTTCCAGCTCCCCCATCGACACCCCCTCTGCCAGCCCAACAGCCTCCTTGCCCGCTGTTAGACTAGACGATGATGATCTGGCTGACGCAATAGAAGATGCGGTGGAAGATGCGATAGACACAGCAGAAGATGCAGCACAACTTACTACCAGGAATGCAGCACTAAATGCATTCGATAATACAGCAGCAATAGCAGCAATTGCGCCTAGAACTGGCGCGGGCTCACGTAAGCAGCTGGCCTGATAAGCTTGCAGTCGCTCTCAACACGCATGTTCGGTGGTGACAATAACCTGAACCGTAGAGACTTGTCGTAACCGCATCGTAACATGAACGCATCTTGGGTGCGCTGAACTGTAACAGGGAGACAACCTTGCCAACACAAACACCATAACACTAACGCTGTGTAATAACCAAGGGACTACAAGGAACACTAACTTTCTATAAGACTTCCAACCAACACATCACGTACTGTGCCTCATGCATGACTTCAGACATTTACCCGGATTCTTGGAGAGTCGTCAGTTATTTCCTCCTTTATTGGGGATGAGAGAACGCAACTAGTCAACACTGAACTCACGATAAAAATATGGAGGACAAAATGGCAAAATGGCCTCAACTCTGTACTCAACTTTATCGTAACTACTATAGATGCATTCTGTCATTCTTCAGCTGCGGGAAATAACTAAATCACAGCTCCAGAGATATAGTACTTGTGACACTCACCATTATCAGTGAAGCTGTTAATGTGAGTATCAAGAGGATCTGTTTCATTCCTTCGTAATACCATAACAAACTACGTCACATATCACTACTATGGTTTATTTTCCTACATGAACAAAATTTGAAATTTAAATAAATATAAAAATTTATTACTACAACAATTACATCTAACAACTGTCTATGCAACACTTCAATAGCTACAGCGTCCTTGTGTTGCAACAGGAGGACACTTTATCTATGTGGCGCATTATTATCGCACGGAAGCTTATCAACAGTTCAGGAAATATTAATATTTAGTTGATCGCTATTCAATATAACAACACCTTTCTAAGTAGTTCTTCAGCCTTGCTTTCTCACACACTGCATCTGTGGTAATCGTTCAACATATATAAACAAACAGACTGTGATATATTATAAAACAGAGGACTAATACTGCACGCCTCACCCCGCACGTTCAGTTACTCTCAAGCACACAGCACGCTGTTGTTTCTGTCAACAGCTGTGACGGTTAATATTACGGAGTGACCATTCACGGAACTTTATATTGATTATTATATAAGAGTCGTTTTTGCGTGTTTTGACCCCACAATTTTGTTAACTGGGGGGAGGCTTAGATCTCCAAAAGTACTCATATCCGCCTAAAGTGAAGGTCACCATCGTGTGTAACAGAGAAAAACACTAATATAATATATATTTTAAAAGTAATTTCCCTTAATGGTCACTACGGAACATTTTTACCACCTTGTCTTCTACACACACCTTGGCATGAACCAACTAAGTAAATTTAACGAATTAAATCATAGCTATTAATATCGCAATAAAGAAGTGATATACGGTTCCAACAGCCGGCGAAAACTCAAAGAAATATATCTGAAAAAAAAGATATATAGGTTTCTTGTTCACTTTGTGGCCTAGCATGGAGCCAGTGATACATTACTCCCAGTGAGTTGACACAAGCTGAACCCTCTTACCCCTGCAGCCCAGTTGGCGATATCCACGGAGGACCTGATTGATGCCATTGAAGACGCAGCAGAGGAAGCAGTAGAAGGACGCACACGCAGTAAGCCCTCATGACACTGTCGGCATGAAACGCTTCTTCACTTAATACTAATTCTTATATTTTCCCTCTGTTAGATTCACCTTCCTTTTGATTTTTGGTTCACGTGTACTTGAGACTCAAGAGGGTTATATTTATTTCTTAAGTGATGATGATGTCGCAATATAACCACAAGGGCCTCGCTGTTTTGACTGGTGTTGTCGCAATATAACCACAAGGGTCTCGTTGTTTTGACTGGTGTTGTCGCAATATAACCACAAGGGCCTCGCTGTTTTGACTGGTGTTGTCGCAATATAACCACAAGGGCCTCGCTGTTTTGACTGGTGTTGTCGCAATATAACCACAAGGGTCTCGTTGTTTTGACTGGTGATGTCGCAATATAACCACAAGGGTCTCGTTGTTTTGACTGGTGTTGTCGCAATATAACCACAAGGGTCTCGTTGTTTTGACTGGTGTTGTCGCAATATAACCACAAGGGTCTCTGACGTTGTGGACTGGTGTTGTCGCAATATAACCACAAGGGCCTCGCTGTTTTGACTGGTGTTGTCGCAATATAACCACAAGGGTCTCGTTGTTTTGACTGGTGTTGTCGCAATATAACCACAAGGGTCTCGTTGTTTTGACTGGTGTTGTCGCAATATAACCACAAGGGCCTCGCTGTTTTGACTGGTGTTGTCGCAATATAACCACAAGGGCCTCGTTGTTTCGCTCTGTCTTGGTTCTGATGTTCTTGACCTTTAACTTCTCTTGATGGTTCAGGATGGTGTTGTTAAGTATGTTTGTTTGTCAGTAATATTCTTCTTGGCGGCAACAGAGTGAGAGGTTTCGCTGCACTAATCTGTATCCAGACGCTCGGTGGTGATGCCGGCTCGCTTCAGTCCGTTTGCTAGCATTTAGTTTTCCCAAGTTCCATCCAACACAAAACACAAAGTGAAAAAAAAATCCTGTGCATTAGATTAATCGTAAATAAAACATTACTAATTTACAAAGGGCTAAATGCGTTTCGTGTCGAATACTTGGGTCAATAGGCAAATTAACATAGAGAAACAATATATGTAAATTATTCGAACAGGTACACAGGTGATTAGTTTTTATTTCTACCAATAGTGATTCAGCCAGGAACAGCCAATCTGTTTACGTGAGCAGCAGCAGCAGCAGCAGCAGCAGCAGCAGCAGCAGCAGCAGCTATCAGCTTCACAAAGTATTCTCGGGGACTGGTCAAATAGGCCCCAACCTACATTAACCTAACCATTTTTTCTCAGGCATCAGTCTTAATGGGCCCTAGTTAGGATTTTTTTTTACGGGAATTAGCCCACCCGGGCACAGGTCGAACGACCCACAACGGGGCCTGGGGGATAAGAATAGAAAGAAATTAAAAATAGAAAAGGCTGGTGGCCTTTACTAGGATTTGGGGTCCGATTGGCCTGCAACCGTAAATCCTCATCCAGCCCGAGGACTGCAACACGCGGCCAACCCATTACAAGGAGCGACGGACCCGGTGAAGGTGACAACAGAGACAATGGCAAGTGGGGCGCTCACAACACCTTCAGCGGTGACAAGAGAAAGTACGACACGTGCAATAACAAACACTACAGCTCCAGCAACAAACACTACAGCCACATCAACAAACACAACAGTCTCAGAAACAAGTACAACAGACCTGGATACAAACGCAACAGCCGCAGCCACATCACCCACCACAGCAGCAGCAGCAGGTGTGTCGACGACGGCAGCAGCAGACGCAATTAGTAAACCAAAACGATCCTAGCAATGTCATGCATCTTAGACGTCTCGCACACTAATACACACATGGGATTATCTGAATTACACACACACACACACACACACACACACACACACACACACACACACACACACAAACTATAACACCTGAATGGTAGAATGCCGAGACAAGAACATCTGGGTTAATTGTTCTTCTGTGAGTTCTGTTGATGGCGGCGTCAACGAGTTGCTAAGGACAACAGAGGCCTCAGCATCACCACACTGAAGACACGAGTCACCTGCAGTCTGGGTCGAATTCTTGAGGCAATGTTTTGTTGTGTGTTGGTTGGGAATTAGCAATGTTGTCGATGATCCAAGCCGCAGTAGTGTTGAGAAAGAGGAAAGACTTTGGCTTGCAATTCATCAGTTGTATGTGTTCTGTCGTGGAGAATCTAGTGTTGCTCTCCTCCCCACCCAAGTTTTTCTGTAGTGTGGATGGATGGTTGTGGTTGGTGACGCTGTTTGTATGTTAAAATTATGATAAGCACTCACCTTGGGAGCCTCCTCTTGGTGTTTCTCTGCCAGGCTGCATGTTGAGAACCACCTACAGTACACACAGGATGTCACAATAGTTTCTAGCCAGAGAGACATACACTACCCAGTATATTTCCATATGTATTGATAAGAAGACTGAAAGGGTGTATTTTGTGTATAAGAGTTCACGTCTTCACACAAAACACACAACTTTTCTAACAATTAATCGAGAAATATACTGATGACACCACTGTCCTCTGGGTCGACAATATTCTAACACCCCGTCGTACAGTATGTGGGTCGTCCTCTCTACAACAACAACACACACACACACACACACACACACACACACACACACACACACACACACACACGTCAACACTAACACTTGGAAGACTTTCTGAACACCAGTATTTAATTCATATTTTACCTCATTTACACTTTATCTTGTTCTTAACAGTTATGATAATTCTTTCAATTGGACACAAAACAACAACAGTGACACAAGTTTGAGGTAGGAACAAGAGGAAGGAATGTAACGCATGAACCACATCTTACAATTAGACTTTTTTTTACTAAGAATAAGAATCAGTGTGTGTGTGTGTGTGTGTGTGTGTGTGTGTGTGTGTGTGTGTGTGTGTGTGTGTGTGTGTGTTTGTGTGTGTGTGTTTTATATGATTTCTTCAGACAGTAAAATATTCCTCAACATTTCTCGTTGGTCAATATAAATCCGCCTAAGCTAAACATTACCTTCCTATCGACAAAGTTGTGTTGAATCATGCGTACTAAAACTTGTAATCACTGTTGCTGTATAAGTATAATTGTTACAGATACGGTTCACTGTAATCATACCTTAAGTAAATTTAGTAACCTTTATTGTAACGACTTTGCTTGAATAGAATAAAAGACGTTTGATCTGAGAGCATTTACTGAAACAATCTCTTAACTGCGTCCCAAAACCTGACTGCCATCCTAAGACCAAGTGTTCCGCGGCCAGTTATTATGTTACCTGTCATCTTCAAGACAATAACAAGTGGCTATATTAGGTTATCAGTTTTCCGGACGATATTTCACATTATTGACAAACAATCTACATGTACATGTTCATCAGGAAGTGAATCTTTATCGAAGTACAGTACATTACATTATATTCAGTAGTTGTTATTTTTATTAGCCTTTGAAACAGCTCTCAGGAACTTTTTGAACTACAGCTGCCAACCAAAGTTTTCATCTGTCTTTAACTTTTGTAATTCTTCCTCAGCCTTTTTCACCTTCAGCCTAACACTTAGGGTAGTTCTGAATGACACACTGATGGCGCCCTTTAAGTTATCAAGCTCCACGCCCCGGTATTGTGTCAACACGACGCGAGAGGCCCCTGCCTACGTGACCCGCTAATGAGCAAATCGTTTATAACATTGACTTGACAGTAGAATTCCATGTATGTTTTTGTAAATGCGTGTGTACAAGTACGTATGTGTAAGTGTACATGCATTTATGCAAGTTTATAAAGTGAGATTATGTACATATGTACTGTATGTATGTATGAGTGTGAGGATAATAACATGATAATCTTCATCAGTTAGGTTCATTCCCACTCCCCCTTACCCACCAGCCCCGGCTGAGGCCCTCACACCGGCGGCAGTAGCAGCAGAGATTATAAGAGAGAGAATGGAAGATGCAGCAGAGAACGCAATTGAGGCATTGCAGGATGCGGCAGAAAACACAAGAGAGGCTATAGAGGAAGCAACAGAAAATGCAAGAGAGGCAATGCTGACGGCAGCAATAAGTGCAAGAACCGCAATGCTGGATACACCACGGGACACGAGGACCACGGTGATGGGTGCAGCAGGGAAGGCAATAATGGCAGCAGCAAGGAACACACAAGCTGCAATGTCGACAGTAGCGGAGAACGCAAGACTTGCAATGCTGATAGCAGCAGAAAATGCAAGAGAGGCCTTGGAGGAAGCAGCAGAGAACGCGATAGAGGCACAGGAGGATGCAGCAGAGGTCGAAAGAGCAAAAATACTGCTGACTGAAGCAGAAAACACAAGAAACGCATTGTTAGGAGCAGTGAACAACGCAAGAACCACAATGACTGGGGCAGCAGAGAATGCAAGAGTCGCAGTACTGTTAGCAGCAGAGAATTTAAGAGAAGCAATGCAGGAAGCAGTAGAGAACGCAAGAGAGGCAAGGCTAGAAGCAGCAGAGAACGAAAGAGAAGCACAAGAAGAAGCAGCAGAGGCCGCAAGGGATGCACTACTGTTAAGAGCAGCGACGGCCGCAGGAAACGCAATGGTGGGAGCAACAGAGAACGCAAGACTCGCAATGTTGATAGCAGCAGATAATGCTAGAGAAGCCATGGAAGAAGCGGCAGAGGATGCATTAGAAGCAAGAGAAGAAGCGGCAGAGGATGCATTAGAAGCAAGAGAAGAAGCAGCAGAGATCGCAAGAGAGAGAAGGCTGATAGCAGCGGTGAACGCAGCAACAGCCAGAGGAGTTACCAGCAGTAAGCAAGCTCAGGCCGGCATGATATGTTTCTTAAGTAGTTACTGACTAACAATGTGTTTTTTTTGTGACAATTTATAATACCACAAAATATTCATACTCGATTGCTCAGTCGCATGCTTGTTTTCTTCCCACAGACTTCATTAAATATTACCCACAGGGAGAACTGTATGTGTTCGTCGCACTGTCCGCCGTGTATCCCTCCAAGAACATGATTTTTTCCAACTGTTTTACAGACTTTTTTAAAGGTGTCTGACACACACTGACACGGCCTAGAGATTTTCCGAGCTTAATAATAGACATAAAACGGTTAAAAATGGCGATTTGGCGGCCAATTTAATTTCATGAAGGCATTAGTACCTGTAGCAGCACCGTGGGGGTTGACGAGACCACTAATAATGTAGTGCTGGAGAGTGACATCCAGCTCACCAGTACACTAAGATGATCACCAAAGACAGATCATTCCACAGTGTTGTTTGAGCGAGACAGTTGACCGCAGCAGCTCTCTTAACACGCGTAATTAAGTTTCTCGAGACATATTTATGATAGTGAATATAAAGGTTAATTAACCACCTGTGAGTCATCTTATTCCTGATAACTATCGTGCACGTCTGGCTTAGTCTTCCCTAACAGTTAGTCGACTGTAAAGAAACAAGAGATTCTAAATAATAACATACAGATACGTGTACATATATAAAAGTTTTATAATAATATCTAAAAGAGGAATGGAAAAAATTTTATCAACTGAATTTTCTCATGTTCTTAACCGCTCCACAAACACCTTCCCTGACTGACTGACACACGGAGAGAGACAAAGTTGTGTTCCCGTCGGTCTTACCTGAGTGACAGAGAGAGTTATTTCCCATCCCCGCCGGCATATAATTACTACACAACAACTATGATATTATTGGTTTAGTCTATTAATTTAAATAATCATAATAATCAATAACTTACTTTGTACAGATGAGTTATATTTGTCATTTGTTTGCAGCTCTGAGTTAAACCAAACATTCATACACCAGTAAAATATTCTTGTGTCCTTGTCTAGCTGAGGAGGTTAATAATGGCTAACTACTATTAAAAGACGTAATTACTAAGTGAACAATTTATCCGCCGCAGACTTGTATTATTCATGTTTACGTCTAACAATACGTCGACAATTAACGTACTTTATTCTATTGTCTTTTCTGCTACCGATGGCAACATTACTACGGAGCAAATTATCCCCACGGACTCCAGAAACAATAACGAGACTGATTCAATCATTTACGAGACTTGACGTGCATGATTCACCTCTCTATGTCTATTGTATTTTGTATTTTTGTTGTATAATGGTTGTATAATGTATCAATTACATAGAAATAACCTGGAAACCAACATGCATGGCTCATCTGATAATTCGTTATGCATGGTTCAACTATTAGCTGATAACTCTGGTCAAGAAAATATCAACAAGCATGGATCATCTCATAACTAATCCTGTGTGTTAATCAGCTGAAACTGGATTAAACATACAACAATACGTAGAGTGAAGGTGTGATGTAGGGTAACCGGGTGACTTGAGTGGGCTAACACGGCATGATGGTTGGAAACTAAACGCAATCCTTCAGTTGTTTGAAGCCAAGGACGGAGGTGGAGTATACGCAATGAGGGGCAAGCTCCTACGTCTCCTACACCCACTTAGGTACGGATCTGTGCATGTGTAATTATTGTGTTTATGTGTGTTTTAACCACAAGCCATTTGAGATGAGATCTATGTATCATTGTCTCAGTTACTAACTCAAATGATCACAGTTGCACGCCACTATTTATTTATGTTCTTGTATGTAATAATTTTCCATTGGAGAACTCGCTTCTTCACATGTACGCTGTGTAAATACCCGCGTTGTAATGGGAAGTTAGTCATGGCATAGGCTGTGACTAACCAGGGTAAGTATTGTACTCACCCGTCATCCACCCATCCATCACCCACCCGTCATCCACCCATCCATCACCCTGTATATACTGTACTTGTGACTGTATCATACCGACCCTCTCTGCTCGTCATCCATCACCTCATTGTTATACCACCAATATAATCCCTTATCCCTGTACATGTATATACTGTATGTACATCTTAGGTCTCACCAGCGCCATGGATGTGTCCCTTCTCTGTAATTTAATCCTCCTAGTCTTGACGGTTACCGGTATTATTAAAAACATTTATATTTCATTTTAAAACATTACCTTTGTACAGTATAGTATCCATGTTGACCGTCAGCTTGGTACTTACGTCATGTAACTCTCAGATGTTTCTTGTTTTACTGCTACAATGTTCATATTATTTTTGATTATTATGCCAGATATTTCTCATCATTATAAATAAGTAAATCACCTCATCATCCCTGACCAAAAGCCATCTATCACTGTAATTAATTTCCCAATACAGTCTAACCCTCCCTGTGTGGATGACCGTATCCCACTGAAGGCTCGGGGTGAGTAAGATCCATAAATTACCAGGTTAACTTATTGGTGAACGAAAACCTTCACCCACACGCATGACAACACATTGACCATCTGTATACTATTTTCCTTCTCATAGATATAGTTCTGTAGTATCAGATATAAATAAATACCTCATATAACATTTCATTGAACACTAACTTCTCCCTGTTCCTCTGTATGTTGTTAGAGATATCATAAAACCACACAGAACACCTAAGAAATAAGCTTTAGTGTTGCCTTACATCCTTATTTGGTATAGAAATCCAAGTGAGCAGATGGGTTGACTGCGCCTACCTGTGCGTAAGGAGACCCGGTAATCTATGGATCTAGGGAGTGAGAGCGCCACCCAACTCCTCCGCCCCGGTCACTTACTACATCCTCTAACCTCCAGCTGTCTCTCCCACAAAGCTGGTCTAGCTGCTGTTGGTGTCCAGGAACTGGTCAGAAGGAAGCGTCAAACCTCCGACAGCAGCAACGTCCAGCAACTGTCCTTCTCTATATCTACACTCGGCTCAATCCTCGGTAAGCCTCACTACCTCTACCACTGTAAGCTTAAGACTCTCTTGTAAGCCTCACTCGAGTCTACCTCTACCACTGTAAGCTTAAGACTCTCTTGTAAGCCTCACTCGAGTCTACCTCTACCACTGTAAGCTTAAGACTCTCTTGTACTCCATTATTAAAAGTTGGTGGAGACAGCCAGACCCACCATCGGGGTTATGACTCTACACATAAATAGAACAAACAGATGTAAGTTTTCAATACAAGTCTGTAAACATACAATGGGGACCAACTTTAATTCCGTAAAGTACTTAAAAAATATTGAGGGGGTCTTAACAAGGGAGACTTATGAGACTGAGTCAAGTTATGCGCTGAAGTTGACCACATGTTGGGAGGAGGAGGAGGAGGAGGAGGAAGGAACAGCCATAGCCCAGAATATTAATGCATCTACAAATCCTCTCATACGACACAAAAAACATTTACAGGAGAAGAAAATAATACATCAGATAATCTCTAAAAAGTAGTCATCTCTGTTGAACCATTGGGAGGATCTTCTTTAGCTATATTATTCTTCAGATTTCGGTGGAATGTCCTTTAAGATTGAATCAAACCGTTAAAGACTCTCACGTGATATCAGACTGACATCACCTTGTCCACTAAGATGACCCGGTGTGTTCAGTGGTCAACTGTGTCAGTCGGTACACAAGACGTCACTAATCTGTTTTACTCAAGACGACATAACATAAACAGGTGATGGACTTACACCACACTACACTAACCTCTCACAACGCACTTACCTCCTCATAACGCACTCACCACACTACACTAACCCCACGCTACACACTTACCACACTACACTACCCCCTCACAAGGCACTCACCCTCACAACACACTCACCCTCACAACACTCATGAGGTCACACTGTAAGCCTTCTCATAACGTAACCAATAGTGTTGTGATAATGGTTTATATTCTCGTGTCACCTAACGTTAGCTCATCCTACACACCCCATCCTGATAAGAGTCAATAATATGCATGACCTAGTTCTTAATCTTACCTGCCTGAGTTAATTCACACATTAGACCTCCCCCTCCTCTTGTGTACGACTATTAATGCACGTATCTTTTAGTAACTGGCTTTTTTATAGAAGAGTGTGAATGTAGACACAACTTTATTTTTCACCTTCACTTTTGTATGATGACGATGCTAACCAGGATAAAATTTGGCTCAGTCCCCCGGAAGTAACAACCTGAACTGCCTGGAAGTCGTCCACTGAACACGCTGACGTCCCCAACCCCTCCCCCCCTGGACACGTTGGTTGAGGACCACACGGCGGCGGGGCTGACGCAGCAGCAGGCACACACCGTCAGCATGATGGCACAACAACGGGTCAGACTCGTCGGTCCAGCTCCAGCCTTCATCACCCTTGGTTCCTGACCTTCCACAGCCCCGACTACCCTAACCTCGACACCTGTACATAGACCTGACTCCTCCCCTTACGAAGACTTGGACAGACTTTAGCATACTAAGTAGAATCCTCCAGTGGAACTAGAGGGGAAACAATCCTTACCTGCAAACGATGTTGTGCAATTACCTCAGGACAAACTATAAGTAATTTTCTTCACCTGTAAATCTTTTCTGTTGTCCGATCTTTCTCTCTGTCTCCTCACGGTGGGAAAACATACACTCAGGTGTTAGTGGGTAACAAAACTAAAATTCTGTTCTTAATTTTATAAAAACGCATTTGACGAACCTTTTGCTCACCCCACTACCTCGGGTGACGTCACTTCGGCAGGCGTCTCCGTCGGTAAATGGTTGGACTCCACCTTCAACGCTAATGTGGAGCTCATCGACAACATGGAGGTCATAGGAACTCTCGTGGTGGATCAAGTGAGTAATATGCTCGACGAACCCAAAGACAAATTCTTGGCTAACGACAACACGAGCTCTTCTGAACACTGAAACCTCCATCAACCGCGTCTACATCTGCGTCACAAAATACACCTGCCGTGTTCAGACACGATGAGCACATAGACTCACCTTACAACTACGATAACCCATCAGCCATTCACCGCTAATAGAGCAGTATAGTCAGTAGAGTGGTAAGAGCAGTTATGTTCACCGAGTTGGAGCAGTTATTATGACACAAACTATCCACAACACCTTGCACTCCATACCTAGTTCGTTCTTCTACCACTACCACGATCCTTTTACCACACCATGCACGATCCTTTCTACTACTCCCACGATCCCTTCAACCACTCCTACACGCCTTCCACTAGTCACGTTACCACTGGCTGCACGAGGGGTCCTCACCTGCCCGTACACGTCACCTCCTCACACACGTAGATACTATACCTACTTATACCACCTCGGTAAACATTACCTCCTGTAGCTGCCACAGTTGTTGAAATATGTATAAGTCTTGATCTATATTCATCTTCTTCACCCACGTGAGTGTCAACACAAACATTTGACTTTATAGTGAAATGTATTCTAGCTGTTAAGATTATGTTTAGTCTAGTTTTTGGTAATGTCATATGTTGTGTAATTTTGTTTTTATATAAAAGTAAACTGTATACTTCTGTTAGTATATCTTAATGTACCAATAAAGAATTACTTTGACATAAAATATGTTTGGATTAATAATTCCTCATTTGGAGTAATTTAAGCCGAAAATGACACATTTCTGTACACATATATATACTGTACAGTATATGAATATGTACTGTGTATGATTCCATATCTCCTTAACATCTGCTGTAAAACCTTACTCGTAAACTACCACCCAGTCACGATGATGGCTTCACTGGGGCATCTCATAAGTTACAACCATCACCAAACTTTCGACACAATATCCACAAAGTTAGCCGATAATTATCTATTGCTTTAAATTCACGTAATACAAATGTTAATGTACACTTTATAACACACTAAGTAAGCTCAAAGAACTTTTGTCTCATGGACCACAATACACCAGGCAGCAGCAGGCGGACCCAAGCAGTGTTGACCTAACCCACACCTGGTGTAGTGTCTTGCCTTAACCAGGTGTAGTACTGACCTAACACTGATGCAAGACAACAACAACAACAATAATAATAATGATAATAATAATAAACAGGACAGAATAAGCCTTGAGTCAGCACCGCGGGAAGCGAAGGAGTCCAAACCACTATATATTTATTAATGGTAATAAGGAAAGGGAAAAAGTGATAGTGGTGATGGTGGTGGTGGTTGGGGTAGTGATGATGGTGGTAGTGGTGATAGTGAAAGTGGTAGTGATAGTATTAGTGATAGTGGTAGTGATAGTGGTAGTGGTAGTTGTGGTAATGGGCAGCTAAGGGACGACCCAGAATGCCAGGCCACTTTCCCTCTCACTGCAGGTTTTTGGTCCAGGGTGAAAGCACAAGATGAAGTGCCCGAGCAACTCTCTCTTCTCGGCCTCTCCTCCGTGGGTTAAATTTTCTTCACACTGCTCTTTTTATTACACTCCCTCATTCGTTTCTTACAACCTTATTCTTTGTCGTGTTTGGTGCTCTCTCTCTCTCTCTCTCTCTCTCTCTCTCTCTCTCTCTCTCTCTCTCTCTCTCTCTCTCTCTCTCTACAGGTGAATCACTACTTAATGACCTTCCATCACAGTAAGGCCACAGGTTGTTGAGTCTGACTAATATGTAAACAACCTGCCGGGTTGATGTTCCCTGGTGACGGCATCCTTGAAGAGACGAGAGCTCATTGCTCCTAGCCTGTCCTTCCCTGGTCTGATCCCCTCTCTCTCTCTCACGGGAGTTCATAACTATTGCTCTACATAAATAACTAAATAAAGTAGTACAAGCTGCCTCTAAACAGTAGCGGCACACATATTAAAAGACCAATAATGAATCATTGAGTAAATAAGAAACAGGTTACTATTATAATGACCTGAATATTATCCCGAGAATTTACAATAAAACTAAGTAGAAATATTGAAGTATTATAAATGAAAGTTTACTCTGTGCATGACTTCATGGTGTCCGCTAATCACGACGGCCGGGGAAGAAAGCTGTTTTTTTTAGTCAAAGTAACTTTCCAATCACGTTCTCTACCTGAGGTTGTCATCTGGATAATTTCCCTTACAGTCAATGTGTGTTAATGTTTATAAATTTCCAGCACTTAATAAGCTGCAGCTACATATTGGTGCCCCACGTGCATGCACGTACGCCCCCCTACACATACAGTATGTACAATTGTACATACACGCACGACCTCTACACACGTACATGCGCATGCAAGTAGGCATACGTACGCATGCACGCAAGCAGATACATACACATACGCACCCTCTTCTCTCTCTCTCCACAACACACACACACACACACACACACACACACACACACACACACACACACACACACACACACACACACACACACACACACACCACAGCAACTTCTCAACACGAGAGAACAAAACAGTCAAGTCATTCACCGTAGGCAGCAAATACTGTCTTAAATACCAAACGGGAAGATCACACGTTAAAGCAACAAAAACTGGTCCACACCTGCCCAGCCCAGCCTCACCCCGCCCTACGCAATCTCCCCCACCCACCTAAACACCCACAAAATATGAAGCAGAAGGTGAAGGTGGAAGGTGTGTCTCACCCCATCAGCCTTTCACTACAATGTTCACTTCGACCCCGTCATTATACACTGTCTCTTCTCTGTACATTTGTTCATCCACTGTTTCCTCGGCAGCTTGGTAACTTGGGCTAGTTCACTGTGCCTTCTGATTAATTAAACTACTGCAATTGTACTGGTAGATGACTCAGCTAACAGTGGCTTGATAACCCGAGAGAGAGAGAGAGAGAGAGAGAGAGAGAGAGAGAGAGAGAGAGAGAGAGAGAGAGAGAGGCCCAATCTACTAACGCCGCGCCACACTACATATCATCACTCTTAACACTACCACACAGCCGTCGTCCTGGAACACAGAAGAACTCACTACATTAACTGTTGTGTGTGTGTGTGTGTGTGTGTGTGTGTGTGTGTGTGTGTGTGTGTGTGTGTGTGTGTGTGTGTGTGTGTAAAGTTTCATTAAGTTCCTTGGTCAACGTTACGAGTATTGGTAACTCTTCCTCATGTATTAAAGAGTATTCGGAACGTCATCTAGATAAATCAGGTTTCCATAAGGGGCGAATCTGATGAAGCTTAGTGAGGTATATACGACACTGTTCTACATACAGACTTTCTTTTCAATCTAACCTAACCTAACCTAACCTAACCTAACCAACGTAAGGAACTTTCTAAGGTGAGAGGTCATTTTTTTATTATGTGGTGGATTAGTTAAGGTACACATGAGGCCTGATCTAACCTAAGCAAGAGGACCCGGCGTTAGGTTAGGTCTGGATACTTAGAAATCAGTTGAGTAGTAACGAGAAGCCAGCAAGTTAAAATACTATTGATATCTCACACTGGATATCAATCACCTAACCTAACCTAACCTAACCTAACCTAACTTAACCTAACCTAACCTAACCTAACCTAACCTAACCTAACCTAACCTAACCTAACCTAACCTAACCTAACTTACTGTAAACTCCCCAAGAGGACTTAGACCCCAAGACCAATGGATCTATCCGCCAAGGTACAATATGATATGGAGAAGCCGAGGAGCTGAACAGTCGTGAGAACGTGAACACCTATTGAACATTTTAACTGACTAACACTTACTAGTGACAGGTTCATAACACCGTAACACCGCCATAGCACCATTACTCACGCAAAATGGTGCTATCAGGGTACGTATGTTAAATTAATTACCAATTAAGCTACAGACAGCTCAGCTATTGGGGGATAATTTCACACATCACCACACCGCTCCTAGACCAGGTTAAGTGAGGATGATTTAGCATAGGACAAACAGCTCCACCTTAGAAAAATAAAATGTTACGGAAACTCATGATATTCGGACGGACAAAATACTGACGACTTGGAGTAAATAAACGAACCATTGGAATGAAGAAGCCGTTTTAATGATAAGAGTCTTGGGATGAGAGGAACTTGTACCAGCCAGGATATGCAAAAAAAAAAACAAAAAAAACATAAAAACAAAGGTAGAAAATAAGTTAAATTGTTCCTAGAGATAAAGATGGTCAAGGTGAGTGTACAGTAGGTCGCTTGGCTACACACACCTATGACCTCTGCCATCCATCATTTTGTGCTGTTTCATTCTTGTCATATCCTGTTTTAAACTTGTTATTAACCCAAACGAGTCCTAGTTCAGTATGATAATAACCGAACCTGTTATAGACTCTTAACAACAGCATCATGAGTTAGTGAATATCCACCGTCTGAACTTTCGGATCGCTTATAAAACATTAATGTAATACAAGTTCTGAATGAGTGGCAAGGCAAGAGTGACCCAGAACACGAGGGAACACTGGAACTCAATCATACCAGCTGATCTGATATCATTCGGTGTGTGTGTGTGTGTATGTGTGTGTGTGTGTGTGTGTCCTGGAGATGAACAACATATCACCACTCCAGCGTTACACTGAGCATGGACCTTGGATATGATGACCAGTTGAGTTTAAACCAGTCTGAGATACCCGCTATGTGTCCAGCAGCTCTCCCATACGGGGTTAAATAGGGCCAGAGCTCTCAAAGATCGTAGGGTGAACGTATTGGTAAGTGATGGTGTCAAAAAAATCACTGGTTCTCTTAACACGTCTAAGATGTTACAAAATTAACCAAAAACAATGATTTTACCTTAACTAAATACTTTCTGTAATCCCCAAATAGAGAAATTAACACACAGGGCAAAACTCTTAAAACCGTATGAATCTTTGTGACTATAGACTCCAGACCAAACTTAACCTGAGATTCACTGCATCGTCTTCTTAATCCCTGAGATAAGATCGTCTAATTAAAGGTAAGACAACAGGTAAGATAACATCACACACAGGTCGAGATGGGATTAAGTTATAAAGCTGGTAATGACAAACACTTGGGATTCGAACCAGTTACCAATAGAATGCCAAGTGCAGTACAATGACCACTCTGCCACTGTACACTCGCACCTAAAAGTATCGATGCAGGGTGAGATCGACGAGTTCCGAAACGATACGTATACACTGTGATATGTCGGGAAGGTTGGTAAGTGTATCCTCATAACCGCCCCCCCTCCACTAGGTGTTGCCATATGGCTGACAACCAGGGCTGCCAACATACAGCTGGAACAACTGGCCTTTCCCAATACCTATCGTCACTGGTCTCAAATTGTTCACACTACAGTATGCACCGATACTTTTTGTTGCGAGTGTACCTAATGGATTGGATTAATTGTTTGTGAAAGGAATTCGGCTGCCCAGACTAACCCACGCCCCTCCCCCCCCTTTCCCGGCCTTTCACCTCCCTCTCACCATCACCACCATTACTTACCACTACCTGTATCACTATCACCACCATTACTTACCACTACCTGTATCACCATCACCACCAATACTACTACAACCATCACAAACATCCCCACCCCTTTCACTGTCTCTACCACTATAGAAACACCATACATCACCTCTCCCCTAACAACAACAATTATCACCCCCGTAACCACCATTACCACCATTCCAAATATCACCACAAAACAAACGTCATTTCTTAG